CATGCACACATGTGGGTGCTTATTTAATGAATAGTTTAACCCTGACTGAGCAGAGGCCGGGAATTAGCTGTACTGTCAAAGACCCAATAATTGTTTCCCAACTGAGCAAAGGAACAAGTGTACAACACAGTGAGTGACACCTCAAAGGTTTTAGAGGAGACTGGGGCTTAAGTTTGACTAATTGTCTTTTCATAAATTGGTCACTGCTCTAAGGGACCCACAGTCATTTTTCTCTAAGACTGGATTAGATTGGTACAGAACAGAATTAGCCTCTATGTTTATCTGTTTTCTGTGTGTAAGGATCATGTCCTATGCAATCAGTAGACACAACACAATGCAGGACAAAATAAAACAATTAAAATAAGACTTCATACATTGTTGTATCTAGACTTCCCCCAACACCTCACAGGTGGGGCTTTTCGGAAGTGGCTGGATCTGGAGTGTATGAATATGGATAGAAGGGTATGTGATAGCTAAATTACTCCACTGATTGGTTTAGCATAGTTCTGGGTGTGGGTAATGGGAAGGCCCATCCTGGGGTCTTGTACCAATAGGCCTGCAGCCTAGATAGAATAAAAGGGTAAGGGAGGCAGGGTGTTGCTTTTTCGGTATGGACTGTTTCTCCTCTGCGATGCCTCTCTGCTATGCCGCCCTGCCTTGGTGCCCACCAACGCTGGACTGAAACCTCTACAGATAGCCAAGCTAAACTTTCCTCCTTTAACTTGTAGATGCTGGGTATGTTGTCCCAGCAATGAGAAAGTAATTAAGACACACATATTTCATGCATGCACACGTGCAAAGCAAATACAGAATTTAGAAAAGATATTTTCCAAATTTTTTTGGGGGGCGGGGGGTTGAGACAGGGTCTCACTATGTAGTTGAGACTGACCTGGAACTCACTACGTTGCTCAGGCTCAGGTCTCGAACTCACAGTGATCCTCCTGCCTCAACCTCCCAAGTGCTGGGATTACAGGCATGCACCATCATGCCTGGCTCCAAATGTTTTATCTACAAACTGAATGATCCTCTACGAAGAACTAGATCTAATCATCTGAGGTGAAGGCGAATTTGGTCACAAACCTTAAGGTAACAAAATAGACTCAGCAACGAGAGCTCAGTAAACTTGGATCATTGCTGAAACTGACTTTCCCTGGAGATGAATGATAAATGGAGTTAGGACATGAGGGACCTGGTGGGGGGGTGGGGGCTGGTGGTCTAAGAATGCCCTAAAGTGCCTCTAAGTGCGGGCCCTTGAAACCTCAGCAGAACTCCTGTGGGGGTCACAGAAGGATAGGCCCACCCTCACTATTAGAATTTTTGAAACTAACCTGGATGTGTTGGCATCTGCTGAACAGCAGTTTAAGAATGTTTGGAGCCACATGTTTTTTATTTGTATAAAGGTAAAGGCACACAGTTGGTGTGTGGTTTGGAGGCATCCACTCAAAAGGGTGCGGGTGAAATGAGCAGCTCAGTGCCATTGTCCAGGGAACCGATTCATTAGCATGGGAATGGACTCTTTACCGAGTTCTGTGCCCTTGCTCTCTCTTGCCTTGTTCTGCCCTTCTGTCTTCTACATGGAATGATACAGTAAGAAGACCCCTTCCAGATGCCAGACACTTGGTCTTGGACTTCTCAGCCTCCAGAACCATGAGAAATAAGCTTCTACTCATAAATTACATCTGTCTCAGATACTGTGTCAAAGCAGCACAAACTGGACTAACACAATCGGTCATCTCTTTGTTATGTGAGTAGCACACACACATGATTGTGTAACATATGTTCATTCTAGAAAAGGCAGCTAAGGAAAACTAGTGTCTAAAATAATATTTCAGATCACCATCCAAAGACAACCCCAGGGTAAAAATGTATATGGCCACAAAACCTTAAAATCCATAATGCATATTTTTAATGCAGGTATATAATTATATAATGTGTATGTTCTTGTTGCCCCCTCTTTAATGAAAGCCATGCACATTTTAGATGCCAATGATTATAATACTTCAAAATGATTGTTAAGGGAAAACAGTGAGGTGTCTGCTGTCATCTACCTAAGTGCCCTTCTTGCCTTGCACATTGAGAACAGGTTCCTTAAAGGTCCTCCAGGTCCGTCTTCACTTCGGATAGATTTCAAGAAATACTCATTACATCAAGGAACAATCACATCCTTTTGCAAGCTTTGACTGACACCTTGTGGAAAGTAACAGTCATCAGCCACTTCACGGCCTCTGTCTTGCCCACATGTCTGGGCCCTGGTGCTTCTTCTGGTCCATGATTTATCTCAGACTGAGCATTTCGCTGCTACCTGGCAATTTCTGTCACGGCTGGGACCAGCCCAAAGCTGTGCTTCTCCAACCACAGACAGGAAGTGTCATTTCCACACTTTTTCAGTATAAAATTATTTACATGGCAACTCCATGCAGAATACATCCCACCTATTTTATCTGAAGCAAAACTCAAGCGTATTTTATGACACCAGCCATAAAATAATTTTAAAAAGCACTATTTCCTAGGTGCAGTTATTGTGAACAGCACTCTGAGATTTGGAAATTCTAGCTTGGCCAGTAGAGGGCACTGTGCTGGGACAGCCCGAGGAGATCCTACAGCCAGGGCAGAGCCCTTCCTCTCACATCTGCTGCCCATGGAAGCCCTGAGAAGTCCCCTGGGGCAGCATTAAGAAACTTCTGCTGCTGGTGAAGGAGCTGACTCATGATACTCCCCTGGTGTGCAGCCGTGTGGAGGGGAAGGCGTTTTCTTAGCCTGTCGGGATTCCTGAGGGCATGTTTGAGCTGCCCAGGGTGGGTAGACAGTTACATGGTACTGCATCAAATTAGAAACATCGCACAGGCTTCCTCTTCCCTTAGGTACCACTTTAGACCATGGCTAGAAAAGCCTGCCAGAGAGAACTGAGAAATGGGGAGGTCAGAACCACAGAGGACAGCACGAGCTGTGGGCCCCGATGGCTCAGAGGGGTTGGCTAAAGCAGGTATGGTTCACACTTCAGTAAACATCTTGGGTTTGAGATTGAGAAATCTTTCCTCTCCAGCTGCTCATGAGTCCCAGAGACAGAGGCAGATCCTTGGATTATCTGTGAAGCTGGTAAGTGAAGCACTGGAGCCTGAGAGTGATCCCCCAGGCATGAGGAACAAGCCCTAGGGAGAATGAGAGGCCAGTTCTGAACCACTGTGCTATCAGTCATCAGAACTGTAGAAGAGAGGGTTCTCCAAAACTTAAGAAAGAAAAGAAAGGAAGGAAGGATGGGAGAGAGAGAGAGAGAGAGAGAGAGAGAGAGAGAAAAGGAAAGAGCTTCTGAATGTGTCAGGTTAAATGTTTTAAAACTAAATTATGCTTGGGAGCACAGGGTACCAAGGACCAGCATGATAAATTTCTAAATGCTCCCAGAGGAGAGGGAAGACTTCTCAACTGTTGGTGACAATTGGAAAAGCTGCAGATTGTGTAGATTCAGTGCCCACTTGCAGCAGGCTAGGGTCTCTGGGGTGCAGACCCAGATTTCCTTAGGACACGGGAAGTCATGACAGAGAGTCCTTCAGACCAGCACCAAAGGAGGGCAGGGAAAGAAAGGAGCTTGGTCAGCTCAGGAGGCAGAAGGCTGTCCCCCATTAGACTGCAATGGCACAACCTGTTACATATTCTCATCTGGATCAGTTCTTGGATTTGGGTGATAGGGCCAACATGACCTTCGGTGAGGCAGCTCTCTGAAACTAAATCCGGGAAGAGGCTGCCAATTCAGGGCTCATGAGGACAGCACTTAGGAAAGGCTGGAGCATCTTCCAGAGGAATCTGGGTGGTATATCTCTTGACAGATACATTCTGTGGACACTTATGTGAGTCCTGAGGCTTATCTCACCTGCTCCTCCCCACATTTCTGCAGGACAGCATAAAAGGACTGTGATGCAGGACTACAGGTGAACAGTCCTGCTAAGGAACCTCCTGGGGCTCAGCTAATGCTGTTAGTATTAATCACATATCATGGAAATCACATCAGCACAAGCACACAAACAGGGCTGTTATGAAACTGGAAACGCTTTTCTAAAATATCAATCATAGGGGCTGGGGATTTATCTTAAGGGTTCTGCCGCCTGCCTAGCAAGAGCAAGGTCCCGAGTTCAATTCCCAATGCCCTCCCCAAATAAAATATCAATCATAAAGCAATGCCAATCATAAAATACAAACTAACCTAGTTTTCTACCAGTGCTAGAAAAAATACTACAAGATTACTGTCAAGAAACAGAATATGCCTGCCCCCCCCCCACAAGTGCAAGGATCAGAGTTGGATCTGAATTCATCTCCGGTACCAAAAAAGAAAAAGAAAGAAAAGAAAAAGAAACAGAATATGCAATCAGAAATATAAAGGACAAGCCTATGGGACTAATAAAGACACCGAATTTTCCCATTTTCCTGGGTTCTGTGTTTATGGTACTGGGGAGCACCTTTAACCATATTTCGCGTTGGGATTTATTTTTAAGTTTTATTTTATTGGTCTCAATGAACCTTTTCCGGCCTCCTTCACCGCGGGTAGGCCTTGTCTTCCCCGCCCTTTGCCTACCGCCCCTCAGACGGGATCCTGGCTGGCAGGAGGAGTCCACGAGTTCAAACCAAAGGCTGCGTCCCACCCGGCGGGAGACCCACATACGTCTCTGAGGCGTCTCGTGGCCGCGATTGCCACAAGTGTACAAGCGGAGAGATGATACGCGAGACAGTGCTTGAAAACAGGCACCCGCACGGCTCAAAGAACCACCACTGCAGCCTAGCTACCGCCGAAGTTGCTACGTCTCCCAGCCTAAAGTTCACTTCCGGCTCATTTCCGCCCGGCGAATTCCAGAGGTCGGGGCCTAGACGTTAGGCGTGCATTGGCCGGGAGAGAGTGTCGTAAACCTAAACTCGTTTGAAATACCAAATCAGCGCCAGACCCGTGCGTTTCAGCCAATAGGAACACTAGAATCGGGCAAAGGGGGCGGAGCGTTTTATTTGAGCGGCGCGCTCAGAGCTGCCGGACCGGTTCCCGGTGGAGTGGGCTCTGGGTGTGACGGGCGTCATGGAGGTCCAGGTCCTGGAGAGCGAGCGTCTGGCGGAGGACCCGCTGCTGAGCAAGCTCAGGGACAGCCGCCGCCGCTTCCAGAGGCGCATGCAGCAGCTGATAGCGAAGGTGGGAGCCACCTGCCAGCGGAGGGCTGGGGCGGGCGAGGTCCGGGATGCGGGGAGCTGGGCCGCAGGCTGACGGACGCCCCTTCCAACCCGCAGTATGAGCACCCTTTCGAGGACGCCCCGCTGGTGCAGATGTCTACGCTGACCTACAGGACACCCCAAGGTACGGAGTCAAATCCCCACCCCCATGCATTGGGGGTGACGGGATGAACAGTGTCATCTAGGATTCCAGATGCTGCCCCCTCCTCTTTGGAAAGTAACCCATGTTTCCCTTGCTCTCGGGCACCAAAAAAATATAAACCTATATTTATGTCCAGAAAAACTACTTAAAAGGGACTCCCGACGACACATAGTTGCGTCTTGGTTTTGATACCTCTGGCTGGCAGAGGTGGCTTGCCGGCTTGAGTCAGTTGCTTAGCTGCTCCGTGTCGTAATCTCTTTCTGTTAAATGAGGAGAATGACAACAGTCATCTGCCCTGAGTGGATGTGGTGACAGTTGTGTAGAGCCCTTGTGAAACTGGGAGCAGCATTGGGAGGACGGCTGTTTGTCTGGTTTAATTTGTAACCATCCTTCTTGAGGTTGAGTGCTGTACCAGAAAACAGATGAACCCGTTTAATGGTTGGGGTAAACTGCCTTAAAACTGATGAACTTGCTTTAATAAGTAGCTGGAAAAGGTTTGTAGTGAATGGGACTGTGTCCTCTCAGATGGCCTTATTACCAACACTCTTTCACTTGCTCATGAAAACAAATATCACTTTCTCCCCAGACATACAGGCACAATAGACTCAGAAGGCCCACTCTTGACTGAAATTTTCACTTTTCTGTTTAGCGGATCCAGCCACACTTTGGGTGAAAAATTTACACAGGCAGAAACTAAAATGTCCCAGCAGCAGATTGTACACTGGTCTGGGGCGGGACCCGAGTTTGGGAAGGAATCATCCTTAGGGCACTGTCCACCAGCCTCACTGTGCTCTGGTGGCCTGTCCATGCAAGGATGAGCGTGGCCGATCCCAGTATCTTGAATACCACTAATTTTGCCAGTGAAAATTCTCGTGCTGCCACTTTGATGAAAACAGTGGTTAAATACCTGAACACCTCGAGAGCAGTCACACCCGACTATGTAGAAGACTTCTGGAGAGCTGGGTGACCAACAGGTTCCTGGGACCACCGATTTCAGTACTGAATGCTGACGCAGTAGGTCTGTGTATCTAACAAGCCCATAGCTCACGTTCACAGCATAGGCCCCTGCTCTGTTGCTTGGTCTGAAAACAATCTGTGGCATGGTCTGTTAAGTGCTGCTATTCCCAATTTAAGGCAACACTGTAGAGCGTAGACTGGGACTAAATACACCATGGTGAAGATGGCAGAGAAGCAGTTGCCTGCATTGGCAGCTTACCGTGTGACCTGTATTCATAAGAGTTTCATATTGTCCATTTCAACTCTGCAAGATGGGCACTATTCTTAGAATCATTGCACCACAACATGGATACAGCACGAAGAGGTGAAGTCACTTTGTGATGTCACTTGACCAGGTTGGCAGATCCCTGGTTTGACTCAGAGTCTGTGTGCTCACTGTCACTGCCCCGGCAGTTGCCAAGAGTGCAGAGTCAGCGCTGGCTGGAGGTCACATCCCAGCCATACCACGCAGGCAGGTGGCCTGGGCTAGTACTGAAGTACCCCCCTACCTGTGTCATCTGTCTGATGGACACGCGAAGTCCCTGTCCCTTAGGTTGTTCAGAGGGACATACAAGCTGTGTGTAGGCGGGTGGTTGTGAGTCCTTAATGAAGTGTACTTAGAAAGGGCTTAGACTAGAACCAGAAGCATAGAAAGCACTGTACATTTTGCTGCTGTTATCATAACAACCATCTCAAGACTCAAAATAGGATCCTCTTCTTACTAACTTGAATTTCCCTAGGAGGTTTCAGGAGCCAGGATGTTGCCAGGGTCCTGTGAACAAGTACGTGGCAAAGCTAGGTGCACTTGAACTCCAGCAACTGACCTGGGCTTGGGCTTGCTCTGTTTGTACACTGTACAGGTTGCCTTCAGGAAGCACTATTACATCAAGATTGCTCTCAAGATGTGATTATTTTACAAATGCAGTATATACTGTCTTCAGTAAATGTGTTTTAAGGACAGTACCTGGCCTATCTGTGGTCCTCTTTTCATTTTTCAAGTTAATAACATAATTTGACGAGCTTCTGCCTTCTAGGTAGAAGGGATTTCTGTTACTGGAAAAATTAGTCCTCATTAAAACCCTTGGACTTCAGAAAGATGAACAAGAGACTGTCAGAAACCTGGCTTGCCTTTACTGTTACATCCTTTGTGTCTGTCACTTTGGCTTTCTCTGAATGCAGATTAAACAAGACTTCAGTATTCAGAATTACTTAACTGAAATGATTGTTTTTGTTTCTTTTCCTAAGGATTGAGAATTTGGGGAGGAAAACTAATGAAGGAAATAAACAAAGGACAAATGCAGGTATTTCCTGTCAAATCGTATGGCTTAAATGCACTGCTGCGGAGAAGCGTGGGTGTGAACGAGTACTGCTGTGAGCTGACCTGGTGCCGAAGGCTGCTGGAGGCCTTGGGAGGACCTTGGTCCCCTTGCCTTTCACCCTGTCCCTCTGTCTGAGGACCTAGTGAGCGTTTCTTCTGCCGCAGGGCTCTTGACAGCTGGCTCTCCTGTGGGGAGGCTGAGCTAGCAGGCTGACACCCCCCACCGCAGGCCCAGCTGGGAGCCCGTTGTTGAGTCCTGACGGAGAAGACCAGGTCCAGTTCCCTCTGGGAAAGGAGGCAAAAGAGAAAGGGGAGAGATAGGCGGTGGGTGAAGTGTACAGGATCACAAACGGCTCTCTGCGTTTCTCTTCCTTTGGAGAGCAAGGTTTGTAGCCCCCCCACCCCCAAATGACCTGAAGGCTTTGCAGCTAGCTTTGCAGCTAGCGATCTACTATGTTTTGACTGGGTGGTGCCCATAATTTGCCCCCCTGCCGTGAGGCTACTCAGTCAGCCCGGTAGCTTTCACACAGTTGTCTGATGCTCTGTTAAATGAGTGCTTCTCACATGGCCCCGGTTCCTCCTGTTGGTCACAGGTCAGGGAACCAGGGGCCAAGAATGACAACATCAGGGTCAAGGTCCCACAGCAGTAACGGCAGCTCTAAAAATCAAGCCTTCTTCTTGATTGATTATTTAAGCCTCTTCCAGTTGATATAGACAGTGAGCCTTTCTCTTCATCCTCTGCATAATTAGTCGCACCCTATAAAAGGCCACACGTCAGTTTCTGAGGCTTTGCTGGCCCTGTGTCCGTCCTAGCTGCCCTACTCTCCTGGAGGGGAGGCGCCCGTAGGAGAGGTGTAAATGAACAGGCGTGGCTGTGTGGGGACAGCTTGGATATAAACCCCTGTTGTGTAGCCCTTGGGAACCTCAGGCCGCACCTCTTCCCAGGGCTGCGTACCTCCTTTGCGGTGAATGCGGAGAGGTGGGATTGGGAGGCTAAAGGACGTACTCATACCCGCCTTACTCCTCAGACCGGTGCTAGAATGGTCCTGGGGACAGTGTTTCTGTCTGTTTAAGGGCTTTACTTCATGTGTGGGAGGGCTGCTGCCCTGTATCTGCTGAATTTTTAGACCCTTTCTGGGGATTAGAAAATTGGGCGTAGCCATGATTACAACTTGTAGAGCCACAGCTTCACTGAAATTGCTGTCCGTGGTGGTGCCCAAATCTGCTTTCATCTTCTCCCAAAAAAACAAATGCTCCAACTTCTCCTAAGGTTGCTGCCATGGAGATGGTGGGAGACAGGAAACATCGGTGCAAGGCAGCGTCACTGGGGGCCAAGTGGTGCTAGTGGAGGGTTTGGGCTGGTGCCACACAGTGAACCCACAGGAGTGGCACCTGGGGCCTCTCCCTAGGGAGGGGGTCTCCCCAGGACCCGCCCCCAGTTCTTGAGGGGCTGGTGCTTCCCAACTCGCTGTGGCCAATTGGATGTCTTGAATGCTCGGATGTTCCAGAAGCCTCACACAGCTTCCTGTCCTACGTTGAGGGGAGGACAGTCCAGGGGCTTATGATAGACTCTCTCAAGCATGTCTTTGTTGATCTTTGCACCTCAAGGACCCCCCTGGGAAGCCGGTGGACGGGGCAGATGATCCTGGGCCAGGACAAGGTGATAAATGTCTACGAGCTCACGCACAGGTCCCAGGAGTGGGTGAGTGTGGCCTTGGGTTGGAAGGGAGGCCAAGGGGACCTGGCCCAGCAGATGTCCCCATTATGACAGTTTTGGAGTCCTCGTTGTCAGTTCTTTTTTCTAAGGGTGTTTTAAAAACTAAAGACTTCTTCATACAGCCTGTCACGGCCTCCTGAGCAGGGAGGACAGGGAGCCAGCCCATCTCTGGCCTAGTTAGGGCCATCTGTGGTGCCCGACACATAAATGGCGCTCGGATGTTTCTTAAGTAAACGATCCGCCCTGCCCCCATTTGTAAAAGCTAACGTCAAGGTTGGTAAGGCTCAGCAGTTGTGAGAGCACGCTCGTGTCGCAGAGCTTCCTTTCACTTCGTCTGCCTGTCTTTCACCTTCCTCGTGGTCACGGGGCCCTCCTGGCAGCCACCGCCTGCTCCCTTCCTGTCCAGACCCAGCCCGTCTATGGGAAGAAGGCCAGCAGGCAGGCTGTCCATCCTCCGGCCCCCAGCCCAGCAGGTCCCCGCCACTGCCTGTTCTCAGTTGGTAACATGAGTTCAGTCACATGTTATTGGTAAAATTGGTCTTTGGGGTAGAATTGGAAAGAAAAACTCAAGGATATTTACCAATGAGATTAAAAATAAAAAACCCTGGTATTAACCTACATCCTAACTCCATAAATCTTTAGACCCTGGAATTTCCCAGACTGTTTGAAAGGATTGGATGTAGTCAGGGCTCTGCTGTCAGATGTGTTACTCACCAGTACCTGTGCGATTCAGGCTGACAGGAAACAGTTACATGGGAGACCCAGTTCCCAAGTCTGGCGAGCCGATTCCATTTGGCCGGTGGCTGGCGTGGCTCCTGGTGACCAGGTAGCAGATGGAGAGGGTCCCACCCTCCCTCACAGGGGTCTGCCGGGCAGTGCTGGGTGCAAATCTCAGCCTCTAGGTGCAGAGGCCCCGGCAGAGGTGGCGCTGGTGGAAAATCTGCTGCCATGACCTGGGTGTGTCTTGCTGGTCCCTGCAGTCTCACCAGTGACAGACAGGTGGCTGTGTCCTTACTGACAGGAGCACTCTTGAGACAATGGGATTTTTACTGTAGAACACATTCAAAATGGTGCATAACGATGCGCAGTTTTTCCTAAAAGTCCTGCTTACCATCTTCTTGTTTACTTCTAGGTTCAGAGAGCAGTGACGCTGGAGCAGCCTCAGACCAGGGTGACCTGCCTGCCCGCACCTGGATGGTGAGCACTGCCTCTTCCAGTCTCACACTTGCGGCCCCATCCTGTGACTTTTGTGTGGAAATGAAAAGCGAGGCAGTGACCCTAGGGAAGGACAGAGGAAACTTTGCAGTGTATTCTGTGGGCATCAGCAGCTAGGAGAAGGGAGCCCACTGTATAGATCCGGGGTGCAGGAAGGAGGCTAGAGCCCTGACAGTGTCTGGTGGTGAGGGATGGTGTTTCTGGCCACTGCTGCCCCGGAGATGGAGCACTTACCAGCTGGGTTCTCACTAAGAGCTGCACCTGAACTCTCACAAACATTTAGAGCATCTTATTTTTTTTTTCTGTTCTGGTACTGCTGTTATAAGCATCTCCTGGCTGGTGTGTTTTGGGGTGGTCACCCTGAGTAAATTCCCTAGAGTTAAATACTGGATTGTGAATTTTCTGAGGGACTGCCCCACTTGGGAGGCTTTTTAGTATTCTGAGCGTCTCCCTATGTAATTTAGACTGGCTTTGAACTCAATGGCGATCCTCCTGTCTCAGCCTCCTGAGTGTTGGCGTTACAGTCATGCACCACCACTGCTCCTGCAAGGGCTTCCACCCCTTTGAACTGCTCCCAGCAGGGAGTAAAGAAGTGACCTTGAGGACCTTCATGTAGAGACTATGTACTTATGAGCTTGCTAGTATGTTCTAGAACTCATGAGGCCAGCTGTCCCTGGCAGCTGTCGGGAACCCTGGCCTCTTTCCTGTCAGCCCGCAGTGCCTCGGAGCCCTCTGAGAGACGAGCTGAGAAGGAAGTACCTGACCCAAGTGGACATCCTGCTGCAGGGCACAGGGCGCTCTGAGGTAACTGCTGCCTGTGTCTGGTTTAGACTCAGATCATGCAGTGAACACTCGGGCGAGTTTCCAGCTGGCCAGGCTGGAGGTGCAGCCCTGTGGGAGGAGGGGTGCCCGTGTGCACCTGTGGTCTGGACCTCCTGCAGCCGTCTTGTAATCAATCGCTGGCTTTGATTCCAGGGAAAGGACACGCCTCGGGCCCCGGCCCCATCTTTGGCCTCGCCTGCCATGCTTGCCCCTGGTAAGTGTAGCAAACCGAGTGCCTCTTCTGCTCTTCATGGGGCTCAGCTCATTGAGACTCGGCTGGGTGCCCTGTCTTTTGCCACTACACTTACCACCTTCACTGCATAGAAAGCATGCAGAGCGTTAAGTTTTGGAGCCCTTTCCCCTCTGCAGTGAGGCTCATCCGCTTTTTGTCGCTGCCTGCTGGTGGGGACATTTCTGACTGCCCAGAAGCGGGGGATCCATCCTTCTGTGGCCCCTTGCAGCTCCCTTTCTGTCCAGCAGCCCCCTGGCCCTCCGCACACACAGTGCACACTTACTGGGTCCATGGTTCCACATCCCTAAGTGCTCCATGTGGACCTAGAACAGGGTTACTCTCCTCCCCGGCTCCTTCCTGTGAGCTCAGATCCCTGACACCCATGCAGCTCGGCTTCCGCCCCTCAGCCAGTCCTGCCCCGTGCTCCTTTCCATCTGTAGCAGTTGAGGACCCACCGGACCACACGCACCACGTTTAGTTGTCACCTCCAACCCTGTCTTAAGGAGGCCAGTGACTCTGCAGAGGCCCCTTGGCTCAGACCTGTCCAGTTGTCTCCTGGTGGTTAGGGTAAACGTTTTTGGCATAAGCACTGCCTGTAGGACACTGGTCCCCCCCAGGACATCACCCCAGTGTGTCCCACCATTGGTGACTGGGGATCGAGCTGGGGCCCACCCAGCTTCTCCCTGCAGAGGCCCTGGTGAGTCTTTCCCAGAAAGGCCTCCACCGGCACTTGTGGTGTCCAGTGACAGTTGGCCGAGTTGGCCGCAACCCATTTTCCTCCTGTTTTGGGCTCTGTAAGAAGCCATGGACCTTTGCAAAGCATGTATATGTTACACTCTGACCAGCTTCCCCCGTGGTGTTCCAGTGGTGCCGCGTGTGGCCTGGAGAAGCACCTCGGGCTGCTCCCAGGTCCTCTGACCCGCATGCCTGGTTCCAGGCTTGCTGTCCTCTGTCACCAGCCCCGACAAGGGCTGCCCCCTGGCCAGTCAGCTGTCCATACAGCTTCCGGGTTTGCAGTGTCTGTCGCCACTCCTCCACCTTTCCGGCCAGCTGCCTCGTCCCGACACTGTCCACTCGGCGCCTGTGTGCAGAACTGTGTGCCCAGCGTCATCTGGATTCTTTCTGCTCTTTCCCTTACCAAGTTGGCGTGCAGCCTCATTTGTTTTTCCTCTTTGCATTCAGCTCTAGGTTTTGCCATTCTCTTCTCATGGGTTTGATTTTCTTTTTTAAAAATCCATACAAAATTCCCCATGGTACAGAAGAGGAGGCTGGGTAAAGAGCAAATTTGGGAGCCTTCCTGTCCTCCGTGTCCCTTCCCATGGGTGGCCCTTGTGCTCATAGCCTGGTTCCTAATTGCTTTGAAAAAACAGCCACCTAGATGGTCCAGAGGGACGAGCATGCCCTCTGAGGTGAGATGGGGAGCAGAACTCTTAATTCTGGTAGCCAAAGAAGGAATTTCTTGAAAGAGTTTGTTCCTAAGTATTTGTGTTTTTTGTATTGTTTAAAAACACGATCCAGGTGTGCTGTTATGCTGGGTGCCTGCACTCAGGGCTCCGAGGGGTGACACTTGACCTTGTGCGCTTTTCCCCAGGATATTCTGGTGATGACTCGACAGAGAGCCTCGGTAACACTGCACAGCCACCTTCCTCCCCCAGAGCCGGGGATCCCCTGCACCCTTGCCCAGTGGACCTGGCCGTAGCACCCAGCAGTGCCCACCACTTCAGCAGCCCGTCCTCTGAGGCCAGTGGCGTCTGCGATGTGACGATCAGCGACCTGTACGCGGGCATGCTGCACTCCATGAGTCGCCTGCTGAGCGCAAAGCCGTCGTGCATCATCTCCACCAAAACGTTCATCGTGCAGAGCTGGAGCTCCCGGAGGAGGCAGCCCCGGAGAAGCCGGGTGCACATGAATGAGACGTACTGCAGAGGGGCCAGGCCCTCCCGGAGGAGTGCCAAGGAGCAGTCCGCACACTATCCAGAGCCCAGGAGAGAGAAGGGGACACTAAGAGACTGCAGGAACTTACTGCACACCCCTCGCCACAGGACAGGCTTCAAGTTGGAAAAGGCTTCTCTTCATGAGAACACAGCCCAGCTCCAGAAATTAGACCCTAGCTGGAAGGAGCGTCAGGTGACGCCCCAGAAGTGTTCCTCGTTGGCTTACTTAGACTTCAGCGCAGTGCATCTGGACTGGGAAAATCGACTTATGACCTTAAAATGGTTAATTTCACCTGTGAAAATGGTTTCCCGACCAAGAATGCTGCAGGGCTGTGCAGAGAGTCGATACAGGGAGATTGAAAGCAAATTCGACAGGCTTCATCGAGAATGCTGCCTGAGTCCTGGGAGGAAACAGCCTCGCACATCTGGACGCGCACACTCCTGGGCCTTGGCCCTGTACCGAGGTGGCTGTGTGAGTCCTGGCAGTGTGCAGGGCTCAGAATCCCACCGGCTGCCCTTACCTTTCTGCAGAGCAAAAGCTACAAGCCTGAGTGAGACTTTTGAACACCTGGGCAGAAGATCTGCAGACGTGAGGGGATGCCGTCCACAGAGGGACTCTTCTTCCTCACTTTCCAAGTCCCTTCTGCCACAGAGCGCGGGCCGCTATGCAGAGACAGCCAGCCCTTTGCAAGGACACAGCTGTGGAACTATCAGAAGAGCAATATCCTCCAGCCACGCTGTCTCAGTACCAAGCACACAGCCCCCGAGCCGACCAAAGAGTCGCCATGATGAAGTTAAAGACACCTTTGCCCGGCTGCACCAGAAGTATACCCAAGCATCACCTCCGATGGTGAAGGTGCCCTCAGGTGTTGCGGTGTCTGCAGATAAAGCCAGAGCGGAAGTTCAGTGCCAGGCAGGGCATGGTGGTGGGAAATTAAATCTGGACACTTGCCTCCTCCCGGGCTGCCAGTGGCCCTTGAGAAGTCCACTAGGATCAGCTGTAGTCGAGGCCCCAGTGTCCGCAGGCACAGCCTGGGGGGCTCCTCCAATCCCCACAAAACGACGCAGGCTGTCAGATTCCCAAGTTTGTGGACTCCAGAGCAGGGGAGCCAGCCAGCCCCTCCCAGCCCAAATGGTAAGAAAGGGCGACACTTGCTGGTCACTTTGAGTCTTTCACATGAGCTGCAGCTCTGGAGGAAGTGGCTTTTGATGGTAGCAATGTTCTTTGGGCGGGGGGCGGGGGTCCTTGTGCGTGCTAGCAGCTGAGTCCAACACTTTATAAATACCGAGCTACACCCCCAGCCCTGTGTCATTTCTGACCAATTCCAGCCGGACTCATGCAAATGTTAATTTTCCAGGCATTCCCCCAAATTCTTTTCCTTTCTCTAAAATCAGCGTTCATATCAAGAACAGGTTTCTGAGGAAAATGCATCAAGGTGAAATTAAAATATTCTTGAAGTAAAAAAACTACACATTTTCCATCAGAACGATTTAGGCCTTTTTTCTAAAAACCTTCCCTTGGCACTCTCTTTAATCCTTGTCAGTCTGACATTTCCCTCTTCTTTATAGGACCCTCAGGAAGTAGCTTTGGTAAGGTGAAACTGACCTGAAAATTCTGACCTTCTTAACATTTCTGGTTCTGGCCTGCAGCGAGTGGCTGTGTAGAATCCCGGCTCTGCCTGTGATCGCAGGCTCTCGGCCTGGATCTCCAGAAGCTCCGGGCCTGGGGAAAGGACCCCGCCTAGGGCAGAGGCCTTGGGAGACCCCAGGATGATGAGCCTGGAGAGCACCCTCGGCCCCGCACACAGGTGGACGTGGGCGCCACTCTGTCCGCCAGTATGGCAGTGGCTGTCTGTGATATGCATGGCCACTAGCACCGCCTTCCCCTGGCCTTGGCCTGAGCCTGTCTGCCCACCCCCTATCCTGCTGTGCCCATGTGGTTTTCCCAGGACAAACCTATGCCAGGCAACCTTTGCCTGTGGCTCTTCTGAGGTCCCAGCCGCTGCTTTGAGGAGCTGCCCTTGTGTGACGTCCTGGAGCTGTCGCCGAGTTCCCTCACGGCTCCCACACATCCAATCTCTCTGGTTCCTTCCCTGTTTTCAGCCTCAGAGGCTTTTTCCCAAGCAACTCCTCCCAATCGTGCCTTTTAAGGTCCTGCTGCCCCTGCACCCACCCAGTCCTCCAACTCGCCCTCTGCTCTTCAGCCACCCCACCTCCTGTCCTGTCCGTTGGGTGCTGCCTTGTCACCCGCTCTGCCCTGGCCCTGACAGATGCTGCACCTGTCCTGTCGTGAGCTGTGTCACCACGCCTGAGTGGGGACGGTGCCAGGCACTCGGCCCTCTGCCAGGCGGTGCTGTGGAGGCCCCAGAAAGTGACAGGAGGTCTCTGTGGACTTCGCTGTGGGTGTGCAGGGCGGGGACAACTCCACACACCATGACTGCATGAGGAAGGGTCAGGGGCCAGCGTCAGGCATTCCTGTGCCCTTCAGCATGTTGTGCCTTGGGTGCAGCTCACCCAGGTCCCCATGAGAACCCTGGATGAGACACTTGAGTCCTGACTCAGGTTCTGGCTCCTGACAAGCAGGAAGTGCAGGCTACATCTGATAACTTCTGATTCACATGGGCAGTGCAAGCTGGGCTAGGGTGTATGTGTGTGTGTGCGCACGCGTGCATACTATAGACTGAACCCAGCCAGGCGTGGTGGCACACACCTGCAATCCCAGCACTCAGGAGGCTGAGGCAGGAGGATTGCTGTGAGTTTGAGACCAGCTTGGGCTACATAGTGAATTCCAGGTGAGTCTCAACTACATAGTGAGACCCTGTCTCAGCCCCCACCCCAAAAAAGACCGAATCCAGGGCCTTTGCACGGAGCTGTATCTTCAGCCTTGTATTTTGAGACCATGCCACTAAGCTGCTCACTCTGGGCTTGAACTTGTGATCCTCCTGCCTCAGCCTCCTAGAGTGCGAGGATTATGGGTGTGTACTACCACGTGGGCCAGGATTTGAGAGCCCGGAGACTTGCTCACTAGGGTGCACCTGCCTGGGGTGACGGTCCCCTTCTCTTCATCCCAAGATGCCTTAGGATCTGTACTAGTCCAGTGGCATTCTCTGTCGTGGACACGGGCATCTGTGAGTGCACAATGGGATACAAAGCAAGTGATTGTGTGGGGCTGGCTTTGGGTTCCAGTGGAGTTTTACCGAAGTCATTTTCTTTGTTTCTCCTAGGGGAAAGAGCAACATATCCTCAGGATGGAAGAGAAAAGTGATCTTTGTTAGAAGAATTCAAAACTAAAACTGGGTGGCCAGGTTATCTGGGGCCCTCTTCCCTCTTGCTCTCTGCTTTTTGTTTGTATGTTCTTTGTTTTTTTCCTTCCAGATTCAGTCTTGCTAGGTTGCCCAGGCTGGCCGCCTCCTCCGGTCCTCCTGCCTCAGCCCCCTGTGTAACTGGGATTAGTCCTGAGCCATGGCACCCAGCTATCCTGCTCCCTTGTTTTTGTCTTGCAGTTTTGGTCATTGGACCCAGGGCCTCCAGCATGCTCGGCAAAGGCTCTAGTACGGGGCTGTACCTCCAGCCCTTATTTTAAGGACGGAGAAAGAGGATGCGGTCAACTAATCCATCCTTAGTGCAAAATCAGGGCAGTTGTCTCCATCAGACACCATCAGATTGAACTCTTGAGTCTGTGCTTCTGTGAGTGCAGTTGCCCTTTGTTTTGAGGCTGGCGTTGGAAATGCAGAAATCCTCCTGCCTCAGCCTCCTTAATACTGGGATTATAGTTGTGTGCTACCATGCCCAGCTTCTATATACATTTTTAACGTTAACCCATACAGGCCTATTTTTCTCAGGTTTCCCTTTTCCAATTTAGTCATATTCTGAGAATTCTCTCTTACATTTCCTGTTGATGTTTTTAGAATATCTGTTGCAAAACCTACATTTGTACCCTGGATATAGTGATCCTGGAAGGAAGCTATGGCTGCTTGCTCCTTGAAACTCAGATGCCCCTGTACATAGTTTCCCCCATGTTAGGAGACAGCAGCCTGGAACATTACTCGTGCATGAAAAGTAATCCCTACTGCCTGGCTGGGTTGGGGTGAAAGTGTGTTGTCTTTCAGCATCCCACGTTACTCCAGAGCCCTCGGAGCTGCGGAGCATCTGTGAGGGACACCGCACGTCTCTGATGGCAGCGTTTATGATAAGACAGCACATTTTAATGACTTATTTCTGATACTCGGAGAACAGTGGCAAAATCCATGAACTGACCATGTGGAGCAGTCGTTGAAACCCTGTTGTCTGTCATGATTTTAGTTTCAATAAAAAGTTAAAGAAAGGAAGAGATTGCACAGTTTCCCTTTGCATCCCTCCCTCAGCGGTTCACTCTGATGTCCCCTGCTCTTGGGCACTGCGTGGCACTGGGACCATAACAGAGGCTGTGAGTCAACACGGGCTGCCAGCGGTTATAGACGCAGGTTCTGGTCTGGGTTCTAAGCTGCAAGCCTGGCCCCTGGAAGGTCGGCTTCCAGTGAGGGTACTGTGCTGGCCTGTGGACGAGTGTGTGTGCAGGAGGAGGGAGGGCAGAGGCCCTGGCATCTTCTGAGAGCGCTCAGCCCTCGTGAGGCCCGCCACGGTGCCATGACCTGGGTACCATCACGTGGGGTCAGGGCTCCACCCTCTGGTGGGCAATGCCAGTCACAGTCACTGAAGCCAGTGAACTGGGACGCAGCTTCCGCGGCCACTGGGTCCGGACTTGGCCACACGGAACTGCAGCAGTAGGCACTGGCTCCTGGTGGCCCCTGCTGCTCCCTGGGACCCAGCGCACCCTTGCTCCATGGGGAAACCCATCACCCTGGCCAGGGGCCACTGCAGGGCTGGGGAGGTAGAGGAGTTGGCATTCAGCATCCAGTGGAGGAAGGGGTTGGGCGGGGTTTATCTGGTCTGCTGGCAAGGACCCCTGAACTTCGGTACAGGGTCTGCTTTTAACTTACACTTAAGGCATTCGAGCCAGACATCACCTGTAGAGGGCACAGGGCACCCCTCCTCCAGGGAGGACGGTGGGCGGGCTGAACCCCCAGCACCCTCTCCTGCGCATTGGTTGCTCCCTTCCTTGGGCTGCTTTATTGGCTTCCGATATGGGAGGCTGTGGCCTGGGCCCCGCCACGCACTGACCAGGTTACACTGTCGAATCCAACTCTACTCCCTGCGCCCCTGGAGCAGCCAGGGTGTGGGGAGGCAACCCCAGGGAGTACAGTGGCTCTGCAGCCTGGGTGCCCTGGGCAGCCCCAGCCCCACCCTTAGGGGGCCCTGTGGAGCTCTGCCACCTTGTCGTCCAGTTCCTTGACCCTCATTTGGAGGAAGGTGCCTATCCAGGTGACAGCAGCCTTGTCACGTTGCAGGTCCATGGCCCCGATGTTCTCACAGAGCTTCTGGATGAGCGAGGCCACCTCGTCACAGCTGCACTCCCTGCAGACCACCTAGGGCCACACAAAGCCAGTCACAGCCCCCTGTGAGCCCCCTGCCCTGCCTCCTGCTGTCCTCAGAGTGGGGCTGCTCCGGCCCCACTCCCGGCTCACAGGGCTCCCCCTGGCTGGCGGGCCCCGCCGCCCCGTCCCGTGTGTGTACCGCCCCTCCCA